GGTTTGTTCCACTCTCCTTGCCTGTCTTCCAGCACTGGGGGCTGACTACCCTGGGAATAACCAGTCTGACTATTAAAGACTGAGGCAAAGAAGGCATTACGTACCTCAGCCTTTTCCTCATCCTTATTGGCAGTATTCCCCCTCGCATCCAATAAGGGATGTAGATTTTCCTTGGCCCTCTTTTTGTTGTTAATGTACTTGTAAAAACATTTTTTGTTGTCCCTACAACAGTGGGCAGCCTGAGTTCTAGCTGGGCTTTTGCCTTTCTAATTTCCTCTCTGCATGACCTAATGAGACCCCTGTACTCCTCTTTGAGTCGCCTGCCCTTTCTCCCGTAGGTGGTAGACCCTCCTTTTGTTCCCCTGAGTCCCAGCAAGAGTTCCCTGTTCAGCCAAGCTGGTCGTCTTCCCCACCAGTTTGTCTTGTGGCACACGGGGACAGCCTGCTCCTGTGCCTTTAAGACTTCCTCCTTGAAGAATGTCCAGCCTTCCTGGACCCCTTTGCCCTTCAGCACTCTCTCCCAAGGGACGTGCAAGGAAGGCAAGATATGGAGTTTTCCTGATATATATATGAGGAAAACTGTCTTTGCAGTAACAACCAGAAAACCATGGACAACTCTCCCAAGGGAGCTGTTAGATCCTTTTGATTAAGATGGTTAAGAACTGGCTTACTAAAATGCTGCAAACAAACGTTTGGCAGCCCAGCAGTAATAGTGGTGATGGGCATTATGTTTTCTGTTTGCTCTCTTGGCTCTCACCAGATATTTTTGTGGAAGCATACACTTGGTGAGTATGCTCAGTGCTGATAGGGCCCTGGAATCGTGTTCAATAAAAGCAGTTCTTTTGGCTTTGAACTCTACGTGATGCACTGATCACTTTGCTGTTAGAAGCCACTTGGTGCACGGTTGTCAGTTGTTCTGTCGTCTCATGGGCTAGGAAAGTCATGTCTTCAGTAGAGCTCTGACTGTCTGGGAAACCTGCACTTGATTTGGGCTTCCTGTTAGGTAAAAGGTTCTACAGGGCTGTGCTGATGAATACCCCTACACAACAGTCATTAGCAAGAGCCTACTTCATGCTGCTGTTCTCATTTGTGGGGTGGTTTTTTTTTTTTTTCCCTGATCTTCCAGGATTTAATAGAGAAAGTTGTAATCCTGCGCAAAGCCGTGCAGCTGACCCAGGCTGTAGACCCTAATGCTGTGGGGGCCCTTTTGGCTGAGAAGATGAGCCAGTATGCCAACCTCCTGGCTGCCCAGGGCAGCATTGCTGCAGCTTTGACCTTCCTCCCTGTGAACACCAACCAGGTATGGGGCCTTCAGGTTTTTTACTCTCTCTGAGTGAACAGGTGTACTTCGAGCAAAGGTTGCTGCATGGTGCAGTTAGCCAGCCAGGCTGCCATCTGAAATGTACCTCAGGATGTGACAGTCAGGATGTTTCCCCTCTCCCTGTGTTGGCCTTACTGAGCTGGCAGAAGTACATGGCCTTTTTCTTTTCCCTCTTCATTTCACACCCTTGTCCTTGTAGCCAGTGACTGCGAAAGGGGCAGCTGTCCCTCCTGCAGGCCAGACACAGTGAAACATGTCCCTTGACATGTGGCTGATTGTTTTCTTTTGATTTCTCGTCTTCCATCAGCTGGTATTCATAGACAGGGTGGCTTTGGAATGATGCCGCCCAGGATGGGAGGCAGGCACATGTAACGCAGTTCCAATAGCCCCGTGTCTCGTGCAGAAAAGACTTATTCCAATCGAATAAAGCAGAGCAAGCTTCCAAGACAGAGCTCATCAGTGTGCGGCCAGTCAGCTTCTTGGTGTGATGCGTTGGAAAACAGACAGTGCAGTTAACCTTCCTTCGCTATCCTTTTCTTATTGCAGCCAAACATTGTGCTGTTACGGGACAGGATTTGCAGAGCCCAAGGGGAGCTCCCAGTGGGACAGCAGGTCCTCAAGGCACTGTACGAGAGACAGCCCATGCCCAAAGGACGAGCTGGCCCTGTGGCTGGACAGATACAAGGGCCCCAGACTCCAGCCCAGCAGTATTACCAACAGGTAAATGGTTTTTGGCAGTCAAGGGAGGGACCTGGTGTTTGAGTTCTGGACAGTGATGGGTAGAGGATTTTTTTTCCTTTCTCTTCGTCTGAGCTGGGGTTGTATGATGTACCTCTACCAAGAGCCTTGTGGTGAAAGTCATAGGTGTTGCTTTTCAGTTGGTACAGATGCCTCCTTTACTCCTCGTCTGGAAGCATCCGTTAAACCCGTTGTCAAGTAGCTTGCTACTGAAGATAAGGTGTTTTGCCCTTTTGTTTGAAAATGTGCTTCAGTGCCAAGAATGACTGCAGGAGAGCACTACCAGTTTTTTCTGTGCTTGCTCTTCATAGTCACTGATGTCATCCCATCCCTGCAGGCCTCGGGGCTCGCTCGTGCTGCTCACCAGCCTCTTCTGGGGCTGATGATTCACCCTGCCCCAGCTCTAATGTTGGCTGCAGAAGCTGCTGAGCAATGGCAGTAGCAAACTCAGGGCATGTTTCAGCAGTTGTGGATACAGCCTACTATGAAAACACCTTCCCAGACAGGTGTAAGTGGGCATAGGCTGCATGGACAGGGGGTGAAACAGGAGTGGGGAGGCAGGCCTGGGTGAGAGTGAGCTGTGCCAGAAGGAAGACCCAGTGAGTATGGGACTAATAAGGGAGCTGGGGGCTGTGCAGGGAGGAAGAGGAGAAATGGGGGAGGCAGATGCCCTGGTTTTATCTCTAGCCTGAGTACGAATGACACTGTATCTGACCACGTTGGCTATCACCAGTGTGGTATGGTGGGCAGCGCTGGCTGTGTGCATGCTTAAAGAGCATTGCCAAATCCCTAATCTCTCAGCATAGTGCTGGAGCTTATCTGGCCCTGCCCTGCACAGGGGCTCTGGGCTGGGATTTTCTGAGAGCGGAGCTATGTTAGTGCTGTGGGTATTCTCCTTACACAGAGAAGACTGGTACAAGCGGAGGCATGTCTCTGTCAGTGCTGCCCTTCAAGCACTGCCTGCCAGAAAAATGGGGAGGGAAAGGAAGAAAATGTAAACAATTTTGTGTCACTTGGCCTTCTCTCTGGGGTGTTTACAAGGTAAATTTCAGAACGGACAAAGCCTTCATCCTCTTCATACAAGATTACCTTTCTAATGCCATTGCATATGATTTTAAATGCATCATTCTCAATAATAACTGTACTATGTATTCCTGTGTCTTTGAGCATCTCCCATGTAACCAATGAATTGCCTTGAGAAGGAATGCTGCGTATTTCCCATTTGGCTGTGGAAAATAGCAGCTGTCCTCTAGATGGTGTTATCTTAACAATGCTTTTTAAACCAGAGTTCCCTTTTTCTCCTCCTGTTTCAGGAATCCCTCAAGCTATTATTTAAGCAAGCCTTGCTCATTAATAAAAGGCTGGGTGTATCACAACCTCACGAGCACACTGTATTCTTCGCTTTCCAGGGAGCTCACGCTCAGCAGGCTTCAAGGGGACAGGTGCCATGTCAGAAAAGTGCCCAACAGTGTGCTAATGAACCAGAACGGAAAGAAATTACATATTTGAGTCTTAGGATACTTGTTTTATTTTACTTCCTTTCAAGAAATTGTGTACGTAGGGCTTGTTCAAGCTCGAGGTAGCCTTTGTTTAATTGCTATCCCAAATAAGATGTATTTAAAACTAGGTTTCCTTTCAACATAGGTTTCTGAACCCTCTTTTTCATCTGAAAGAAAAAGGCATGAAAGGGAGTGGAAGAGTCTTTTACGTGACTCGTGATGAGTTGTGCAGACATTAACGGTGGTTGTTGTACGTCTGACTGCACCATTAGCCCAGCACTGCACAGGGTTAGAGACTGATGGACTGAAGCCAGCTGAGCCGGCCGGACTTCACGGCTGCAGCTTTCCTTCTGCCTGCATTCAGGTAGGGTGTTGGGCTTCCTGACCCCGGCTGTGTATTCCACTGCTGGGCAGTATGCCCTCCCCTTGCTCAGGGACATCACAGGCGTAGGAGGTTCTTGGTTTCTGTCCTGTCAGCAACATAGTAGTGGTTGTATGGAACTGAAGGGCTTTGGAGTGGCAAAGAAGGAAGACAGAGGAAAGGAGCTGGGCAGGGAAGCAGTTGCCATTAAGATGTACATTTGCACATGTGCAAGAGCTGAATATCAGATTTCAACCTTTTGTAATTCATCTTAAACTCAATTTAAACAGACTGCTTTTGTGTGAGGCAGTATGTTTGGGTTTAACATGGAACTTGGGACTTCTAGCTGTGGCTAGTGATGCTAAGTATCACACAGTAGCCTGGGGTAAGCTTCTGCAATAGGAAGATGTGATGAAAGAGGCAGACCTTGTTCACTGGCACGTGTAACACTCCATTTTCTCCACAGCCTGTTGTAGCTGCATCTCTGCTGTGCTTTGTCTTCACTCTGCAGTTCACTTTGGCTCTAGTGAAGTGATTTTGTCTGTCTTGAATACATTTTTCCTTCTTCTTCTGAGATTTTATGGCTGTTACAAGTGCCAGCATGCAAACCTTTTTGTGTTTACTTCTTTGCATCTCATTTTGTGAAACCCTTTAAACTTTTTTTGTTGTTTTCTGGTTTTTTTCCGTGATTGGTATTTCTTTGTTCAATTCAGGTTAGAATTGCCCCTACTGTCACTACCTGGAGTAACAAAACTCCTACTGCCCTTCCCAGACCACCTCCTGCAGGCTGTCCCTCTGACACACAGGTATTATCATCATTATCTCTCTCAGCCCCTGCTCCACCGTGGTATGTCCCCTGGTGTAGTCTGTGTGCTTGACACAGTCTGGTACAGATAGGCAGAAGGAGCAGCTTCCATGAGTGGCTCTGGAAAGCCTTGAGTGGAAGCTCAGTGTGGCCTAAACCCCCCCCAGCCCTTGCCCCACTCTGGAGTATTTGAAGTATGATGATATTTTTGCTTTCACCCTTTCCCATGGAAATCAGAAGCTTCAGAGTTAACGTTTAAGTTGTTTAGTTGAAAACTGTGGATGTCGGGGTGCTCTTGGACTGCCTGCATAACAGGCAGTGTTGGTAAGGACCTCTTCCTTCTGCAGGAAGGTACGTGCTGCACTGCTGGTGCTGAAGTCACTGCACATACAGGCTGTGCTTTCAGTGTTATGCTGGGTACCCTCAGGCACTGGGGTGGTTGGAGGCATTTGTCCCTGTGCTGTTGATTCTACCAGGGAATATGGTTTCAGGCCTTTAAATGTGAACGGATCATTTTGTTACAGTTCTGCTGCAGCGCTGCCTTACTGTTTCTGACTAAATCCTATCTCCCCCTACCCTTTTTCCTGCAATCTCTTTTTACAGGGAGACAACCCACCTCCTCCAGGGTTTATGATGCCAGGTGCTGTGAACCCCAACATGCCACCACAGCAAGCCACATCTTCCAATTACAGCATGTTCTCACAAGCAGGGGCCCAGCCAACGTACCCGCAGAGTGAGTAGCAGCATCTCCCCTCTCCTTCCCACCCAGCTAGGCCAGCCGGATGATGAGGCTGTGTTTACTTGGGGATAGCCAGTCCCCTACTTGGGGTTGGGAGGGTTCAGACCAAGCCAGTCCCACATTTCTGGGGGTGGGGAATCCTGGGATGACATCTGAGGATTGTCATTTCATGGTGGGGTCCAGACATCAGGCACCCGCTATCATACACTGTCTCCTCTGCAGAGAGGGTATCTGCCCACAACTCCTAGACTCACTCCTCAGCTGGCCCTTCCCAAGGGTGTGCTGGGGTCAGAAACCTCTCAGTGTGAGTCCTGAAGAAACAGCATGGGTCTGGCAAAGAGGAACCTAACTTGTCTGTGTGCAGCTGGGCCATCCAGTTCTCATTGGGACTCCATGAAGATGGGAAAGGGGGTGAGGAGACAAGGGGAGTAGTAAAGGTGAGTGAGGAAGGGGGTAGAGCACTGACACCCTCAAAGCAGGGGACTGAAAGTACAGGCACCAGGAAGGGAAAAATGGGCATAGATGGGCAGAGAAGAGGCAGTGAAGTTAAGCTGCAGGGCCACAGTGAAAGCTTGCATTCACTTCCAGACACTGCTGGATTGCAGTGGTCCAGAACATGGATGTGTTCTGTCTATGTTCCGCAGGCCCAGCCTGAGTGGCATAGTGGCTCTGGGCAGGAGAGTCTCGGGGACAGAATGGGAGTCCTTACAGCCAAGGCAGTCCTTTGTCTGACTCTCCACTGCCAGTGTGAGGCTGAGGTTTTGGGCAGTCCTGCAAGTGCAGGCAGAGTTGTGCAAACCAGGATGTGGCTGGGCAGTAAGTGGTTTGAGGGGGAAGGGGCAGGAAGAGAGGAGAGTCAGGTGGAGAAGGAAGCAAAGGCAGACAAAACCTGCTGCTGTGTTATGAACTCACTGACTGAATATCTTTTCTCCCCGTTTGTAGCATATCAGGCCATGCAGCAGTATTCTTGTGGAACAGGGAGACCAGCTCTCTATCAGCCTCAGCAGCCTGTCACTGTCCCTACTTCAGCCTCTTACCCAAACCCTGCCCCTAACACCACCCCTCCCTACCTGCCCCCTGCCCGCTCCGTGCCCTCCTCGCTGTATCCTGGTCAGCCTCAACCCTCCCCAACAAGCCCGAATCCCATCTCTTCCTTCCCTCTTCCTCCTTCTGGCGCATCCTTTCAGCATGGCACGCCAGGACCTTCAGCAACTTCTGTGGCTTATGCATTGCCTACTGGACCACCAGGTACTCTGCCTGCAACCAGTGACCTTCCTGCATCCCAGAGAACAGGTCTGCGCTTGGACAGGGGGCAGGCAGGGAGGGGGAGGATTTTGCTCGTAGTCAATTGAATGTGCACCTTTTCCTTGTGAACGCTCCGTACAAAGTTTGCTTGTGCTTAGAGGTCAATCCAAAGCATTTCTAAAACACATCATCTTCCCTATGCATCGGGCAATGATACGGCTGTGTTCCACAGTGAGGACTTGCTGAGCAGCGTGAGCAGTCGTCTTTCTCTTGCAAGTCAGACCTTGCCACAAACACAGAGCTTTTGTCTTGCCCAAGACAGGGTGCTACAGCACTGTAGCTGTTATGGGGCTGTTGTATGCTGTGGATGGATGGTGGCACATTTTGACCTTGTGGGGCTGGTGTCAAAACCTGCTACGTGGCTGGAGAGCAAAATACAAAAATGGGCAAGTTTTCCTAATGACTTCAGAGAAGGTGATCCCAATTCTTCTTGCAGAACAATTTTGCAAATGTAATTTGTCCCTGTGTCCCTGGTTTGTGAGCAGCATTTCAAGCCTGGGATTGGCAGCGTATTTAATTCATACAGTATTTCCTGTGGCATCAGTTCACTTCCGTTATTTTGTTTCCTAATCACTAAGTGTGATGGGATTTAGTGTAGCTGTGAATACCTTAAGAGATAATCAGAAGTTATTTAGAAATGCTTTTACATGTCTCTTTCCTGAATGTTAATCAAAAGCATGTGTGTGTGGCTGACATATGAGCATGTTAGAGCATGCATGGTGAGAGCACGCACTGAGGTGGAGCTCAGGGTCTCCTTGTGACTGCCTGTATATAACCGCTGTGGGACAGTGACCTCACTTGTGAGAGCAAAGCTCTCTCTTCACTTAGCTGCCTGTTAAACAACAGCTCTGCTTATGTCAGACCGTGCAGGGAATATGAGCAGTCCTTTTCTAAACCTGGCCATAAACATACTTCACATCCAGGTGGTCCAGCTGGCGACTCAAGGACCAGATCAGGGAAGTAGGAAGCAGATGGAATATTAGGCAGGCTTTGAGGGATGTTCCAGGGATACTAACTAACTCTGCTGACAGGCCTTAAGGACCCCACTGTGACTCCCTGTCTTCTTTTAAAAGTCTGTAAGAGGTGATGCAGTGCAGAAAATGCATATTGCCTTTGTCTTGGCAGCAGCAGTCCTGTGAGTAGGTGCTCCTGGCGCCTGTGAGGCTGGGAGCCCACACCTCTCATGGCATTGCCTTCACACACGCACACTCATGTCTTGGGGAGAAATGGTCTTTTGCTCTGTCAAAAAATAGAGAGGGCTGATGTAGGGCAGCTGCCAGGGTTAGGGTTGCTGCAAGGGGAGAAGAGACTTTTTCCCTCCATCCTGCAGCCAGATTTGGTGTCCTCTCTGTTCTTGGAGATGCTGTACTGTGACCTTTCCTGACCCCATGTTATGGGGCATGTCAAACTTGTGTCTCTAAGCCAAAGGAATTACAAAATTGGACAGAGGAAGAGGTGTTGGATAGGGTTCTAGGCCTGGGATGTGAAGCAGCACGTTATAATGCAGACAACATAGCTTCTGCACCTCCAAATAAATGCAAGGAATGAAGAAATTGTTCATTCTTACCCATTTCACTACCCTGCTTGCATGACTAGCAGGCACTTCAGGTCTGTCATTTGCTAAGTTTCTTGCGTTAACAGTGAAGTGACATAGTCCATGTGGCGTGCTCAGAGCAGGTGAAGCTCTGTGCTCTGGACAATAGAAATCAGGGGCATTAATGATAATATCGGTTGATTTGTAAAATTGTGTAATCCACATAGACAATAGTCTAACACATCTTGTCTGTGTCATTTTAATATAAGGGGAATTGAAGCAGTCGTTATCTGCATTGCCTTGCCAGGTTTCCTTTCAAAATTAAAAGGTGTCCACGCTAGGCTTTTTGTAAAGCTTTGAGACCTATCGGTGCTGCTTGTGTTTTTTCCCCAGCAGTTGTGGCGAGAAGGCAGCAAGTACAAAAAGTGTCAAACCTTCAGGAATCCAAACTTGGTCATTATCTCTGATTCCTGGCAGATGCCAGCCTTGGGCTGAAATGCAGAGGTGGACTCCAGGGCACAGTGAGGTGCTGAGGCCAGGTGGCTCATGCATGTGGACTGCTGGCACGCAACTGCTGCCTGCAGCTGGAGAACTATGGAAAAAAAGATAAGAGGTAGCTGAAGAGCACACTCTGTCCTCTTCCAATTTTTAGATTATGCCTTTCAAAAACTTATAAACAAGAAGGAAGAAAAGCTTGCTTTGTAAATGCAGAAATGTCAGTGTACATGCTTAATATGCTTAACCACCAACATATTTTCCAGAGTTGCTGCCTTGCTTAGTAAAGGATGCCTTGGTTTGAGATCCCATAGAACCACAGAAATCTGCCGCCAGATGCAGAACTCACCTGTAACTCTGAATGTTCCAGTGCAGAGTATACAGTGATGCTGATCTTAGCTTTGAAGTGGTGTGCTTTTGTGCATGGTGATGATCTAATCTGGGAACATCATGTTTCACTTTGCAAATGTGATTCATTTCAAGGTAGGATAAGGGAGGAGGGGGAAAAAAGATCTCAAATTTGAAGTCTTGAAAAGCACCTGACCTTTGAGCTAGGCTGGGTTTAAAGATGCATTTTAAAAAGAAGCAGTTCTATAATTATGTTCTGGTTTTTGCATATACACATAACATCAGTATGTTAAGCTGTGCTTGGAGCTCCGGTGAGCAAGAAAAGCCCACATTTAATTTCATTTTCAACCTATCTCACTTTGTTTTGTGATAGATTTTTGAATCTGCTTTCAAGGGAGTTTTAATTTTCAGTCTTGAATCTTGTTTGAAATTGTGATAGAGCAATTCTGAGCTAAGGGAAGGGTTTGCACTAGAACTGTGAGCACATCAGACCAACCCCAGCGACAGGAGTTATCTCATCCCTGACGTTCCTCTTCTCTTCAAAATGGCGGTGGCTTCTTTGGCTGTATTTTGCCATTTGGATTCGTGCTCAGTCTGAGCAGGCAGTGTGTCTTGTCACGTGTGTAAAGCTGCTGTGTGAACATACTTTTTTTGCTGGGCTGGATGTAGTTGAGAGTGCGCCATGATTTCAGAAAATATTTGACGTCTACCTTGAAGTCCAGTACTTTAAGCATGGTAAAATGATGGTGAGAAGATTGTTGCTAAGAGCAATCGTCTGTCAGCTGCACTGGCTGGTAGAAACAGAAGAGATAAGAAAGCGGGCCAGGACTCTGCAGCACTTGTTAGAAACAACTTGAAACACTGATTTACTGCATGGAAAGAGCAACAGGCTTGTTTTCAGGGAGGGCAGACAAAAGCAGTTCCACAGGCTGGTTTGGACAAATGACTTGTCTCTAAACTGGTATTGTAATTAGGTTAGACATTGTTTGTCCTGACTTCTCGTGCTTATTGAAACTAAATTGCTAATCAAAAATTACAGACCAATTGTTTGTTATTTTCGAAGAAAACTTTTTTAGTTCTCTTTGCATTTTATCTACAGAAAGCCTTCCAGCTCAAGACCAGGCCTCTGCCTTCACAGGTGAACTAGGTACCACCCAACCTGAAAGTAATTACAGCTGATACATGAAATTAATTGAGCAGGCATCAAGAATGCATACCTTCTTCAGAGAGCATTAAGTGTGATGCTGTTTGCCAATTAGACTTTAATCAAATCAATTTTTAATTCCTTAATTAAAACCAATAACAACATATCTGGAGTTTTTAACCACAGAAACAAATGCTGATTTTCCTTTTTTAAAGCAAATTATTCCAGGAAGTTAACAGCAGTAACAGTCTGGGAGATTTTCTTAACCTGTTACCACTATCAGCACTGCAGAAGTTATATTTCGTATACCAGAAATAGTCTAGGATTTTCAAGATAGGGGGGAGCAGAGGAGCCCCTGGGGCACATGGCTGTTGGGAGATGGCTCTGCCTTTGGTTAAAAAGAAAGCAGATGTGAAAGGGGTTTTAAATTCTTTTCCATTTACCCCTTTAATATGCTCTAGATGTGGAACTTGTTTAACAAAATCTCAGGGGCAAATGAAATTTCGGATGAGTTGAGCAAATTCTGCAATGATGTTAAGCTTTGTTGTCCAAGGTGAATTCATCATCTGCTAAGTGAAAAACACTGTGGTGAAAAAGTCCATTGAATAGGGATTTGGTTTTGTTGGCTTTTTGTGGCTTTGTGCCGTAAATCCCGATTACTCAGCGAGGCCACGGTAATGCTGAGGTATAATGCTGTAGTCCCGATTACATGCGCTCCATGATGAGATGGGGAACTGTTTCTAATGCGCTAACACGTGCTTTGGTGTACAAATGTGGCTGCATGGAGCTTGCTTTCTTGGAAGAGCAGAAGATTTGGTACAGAACAACACCCTGGACTTGAGTGAATCTTCTCAGGCATCCTCTGTGCTTCTTCCAGTTTCAAGCAAATTGCCCTTGGTGTAAAAAGCTATATTTTGCCACCTTGCTTCAGCAGGTCTGCTCTGCTTTTGGGATAAAAAACACCCATAAACATGCTGTAGCTGGCAGGGGAAACCTGGTTTTGTGGCTCTTTTGTGTTTCCAGGGTGGCTGGGTGAATCTGGCCTGAAACGTTTAAGGCTTCTGTTGCCTCTTATGCCTCTTGTTTCTGTGTTGTGTTGCTGGGGAACATGTCTTAACTGTCATGTATAAATCCACTGCAGTACATAATCGCAGCAGCAGCAACACTTGGGAATGGATGCAGCTTAATGGTGTTCTTATTCACCCATGGTTTCTGACATCTGTGCTGCTGAATAATGTTTATAATAATGTCACGGTGATCATGAAAAAAAAATTTAAAACCTGTTCTCATTTCTTATCGTATGATACAGATATGAGAAACTTTCACTGGTAACTGAAGCTGTCTTCACATATGCAGCCTGTGTAGCAGAACTGTGTTTTGGGCATGGTAGGCACCTGCCTGCATTTTCAAAGGGTGTATCTACTCAAAGGGGTTTTTTCCTGCAAGAGAAGAAAAAGTGAATTATTTTTTTAAAAAAAAAAGAAAAAAAAAAAAGGTATCTTTTTAAGTCAAGCCTGACAAGAGTTGGTCAAGATGCCAAACCTGCGCAGTCGTCACAGAGCCCAAAGGGTCTGGCAGCTAGGGCGTTGAGAGGCTCTGGCTGGCACAGGAGCTGTTCTGGCCCCCGGTGACAGGCAGAGAAGCAGGCAGCTGAGGGCAAACTCTGCGAAGCCCCTGCCAGCAGAGCTGTGGTAGGGAGCTGGCCCAGCTGAGTTCAAGAAGGCATCACTGCCCTTCTCTGAGGTACTTACAGTCTCTGTTTTCTTTCTGTTCCAGGGCCTCAGAACGGCTGGAATGACCCTCCTGCCCTGAACAGAGCTGCCAAGAAGAAGAAGGTACTCTAGGAAATCCTGTCTCAACACAACTGAGTGCTGATCCCTTCAAACACAGTAACTTAAACTGCTTCTGGGAAAATTGTTGTCAGAAGGAAAAAGGAGTGTTAGCAGCAAACAAAAGCTGCACCTCGTGAGCAGAAATGGCCTTTATGCCTCTCCAGTATCCATTCTTTCCCTCAAAATATTTCAGCTTCTAAAGAGATGGTGGCTTTTTGCTAAAGTTGTGGTTGTTAACAACATTAATCCTGGTTTGAGGGAAGAAAATACCTCAGACTATTTCATCTGCCGTAAAGCAGATGAGTTTTGCAGGAGATGATACTTACACAAAATGAGGCTGTGCAAATTGTTATAGAATACTGACTTTGCTGGAGCTGAAAGCAGTTTACCCTGATTAAGGGTCAGACCCTGAGAGATCTGCTGAGAGTAAGACAATTTTCATGATGGAGACAATGTAGTTTTACAAAACTGATTTAAATTGCAGCAGGACAGAATAACTGGGGATACTTGGCACAGAGCAGAGTGAGCCTTTTCATCCCCTGGTACTGTTGTAATCTTGCGTATCTCCGCAGCAGACTGTGTCGTCTGCTGCCCTCTGAGCCTGGTGCATTTGGGAAGCAAGAGTCAGTCTGGAGTATGTAAAGTGTGGGGAGAAAAAAAAGTTGAAGCAGGCAAGATAAGATCTGGGTGAAAGTGAAGGCAGAAATCTCCTGTGCCCATTGGGTTTTGGTCTCTGCAGTTCAAGATTAAGAAGCTTTTGGAGGATGGATAGGGGAATGCTTTGTGTGCTTCTGACTGCCCCAGAGCTGGCATGTTTGTCACACAGTAGCCAGCCTGCTGCCTTTCAGGGTTTCAGGCTCTTAAGCAGAAGGAGGAAAGTGGTCACTGAGATCAACTGCTGGACCTGAGAGCTCGAGAAGCAGCCTTCTGCAAACAGGGTTTGTGCTACTGCTGTGTGTGTGTCACAGCCAGAATTTCTGCCGTAGCCAGGACTGGAGGGCTGGCTCCCTTCTCAATGAGGAGTTGTGTTTGTTGCATTCCCTGTTGGGTATTGAACAAACCTCTGTCAGAAATGTTTCTATGTTTGTTTCCCTTATGTCCACCGTATGAGGGGGTGGTTTAGGATGAGGCTACTGTGAAATAGAAGAACCGTCTGGCATTTCAAGCCGCAGCATAACTCGCAACTGTTTTCCACCTAATTAAGAACTTATCCATCACTCAAATTTTATTGCTGTGATTCATTTTTCTTATAACTGACTTTGGTGCTGGATTGGGGATATTTTACTTGCTGTTCCAAACTACTAGCTTAATTCTGGCATCATTTGTTCAGGGTAGCATTCAGGGTTCTGTAATCTTTCCTTTTTTCCATGCATGCCAAAAGAAATGTGCGCATTCCCATGGGAGCTCTTTTTTGTGTTTGGATTCCTGTATGATGCGTAGCAGAGGATAGTAGCTCATTTTGTTGTTTCTTCCCTCTGCCAGATGTTTCCAAATCGCCCCTGTGTAAAGACTGGCAGATGCTTAGGGATGAATCTGACATGCGCTCATAATCTGTCTTAGCACAAACCCTGTTTGTGTTTCCCGGAAGCTTTATTGGTGTGTGTTGCTAGCTGTGACCTATGCACTGCGTGGACAAAAATGTGCCCTTGAAAGTGAAACACAAAAATCTAAATATAATGACCCAACAGTAAGAATAGATGTAGGCGTGGCTGAGTTTTCATTAGTGCAACTCTGCTTCTGTTAGTGCTGGTCTGCCAAACCTCTGTTTTGTGCCCTTAGCAGAGGGAGAGTGGCTCTGATTTGAGGTGGCTTTACTTTGCTCCTGTGGCCAAGGGCAGGCTGGGCAGACTGCTCCTGCGCTGTTTGGGCAGGAGGACAGGCAGAACACACAGGACAGGAAACGCTGGAGGCTATTACTGCCCCAGGGCACTTCTTAGTGTGCAGCTGCAGCCAGAGGAATGGGTTTGTTTAGCCAGAGTGAAATCCTGTGTTGCCTGCCCCTGTTATTTCTATATCCTGAGGGTTCAGCGCTCTGCTTGGCAGGCTGGGAAGTCTGCAGGAGCTGGGTGTTGTTCTCTGCCTGCAGCAGCCACAGCAGCACAATTGTAGTGTTTGTGGTTTTTTCCCTAGGTCCCTGATAACTTCCTGCCTCCGGTTCCCATCACCTCCCCCATCATGAACCCGCTGGTGGATCCGCAGTCTCAGATGCAGCAGCCTCTGCTTCTGGCACCACCCACAGGTGCACCCAGCCTCCAGCCTCCACACGTCCCTGTCCTTGCAGGGCAGCCAGTGCTGCACGGTAGCTACCTGCCTGCTCCCCAGCCCCTGGGACAGTGCATCATGCCACCCATTGTTTCCAAACCCAGCATGGAGGGGGCCCCTGGAGCACCAATCGGCAATGCCATCCAGGTAACGTAGCCCCAGCATTGCGCGGTTTTGGTTTGTACATCAGCAGAGCCTTGCAGGCTGGGACTCTGTTGGCCAGGCATTTCCTGTACCTCCAAAGTGTACTGCAGAGTTTTTAGTCACTAGCTTTGCACCATGCTGGTATTTTGCTACTGTAATCTCCACCTAGACACTACCACTTTGCAATTAATACTCCAGTCAGTATGGACCAACAAGCGGCTTCCTTCTGCAACTTCACAGCTCTCCAGAGGGAGTGACAGCAGATGCTGATAATGTCACCTCCACACACCCCCAGGGAAGAATGGCATTTGTGCCAAGTTGGCTAATAATGCCACTTGGTTTAGTTGAAAACAATGTGTGGTCACAGTGACCTGGAAAAGCCTCACCTGCCCTCCTTTTCTTAGCATGTGCAGGCACTGCCAGCAGAGAAGATTACCAAGAAGCCCATACCTGAGGAGCACCTTGTTCTGAAGACCACGTTTGAAGCTCTTATCCAGAGATGTCTCCTGTCTGCCTCCGATCCAGTAGGCCTCTGCAGTGTTCCCAGAGTACCCCTGTGTTTGGGTGGATGTACTGATCCCTGCAGCACAGCTAGCCATTACAGCCTCTCCTGAGATAGCTTTTGCCTTCTAAAGGCTGCTTTGAGCAGCTACAAACAACGCGTAGAAAAGCTATATGCGCATAGGATGTGGCAGTCGTGGGCCAGAGCACAGCACAGCTGCCCCAGCACTTTGACTCTGATCCTTACCGCCCTCAGCATGGGCAGAGCGTGATGGTGTTAACCCATCGCAGCCCCCTCTGCTGCTGTCTTCTGAGGAGGAGGTTTGGAACTGGTTACAGTTGAGATTTTGATGTTGATGGTTAAAAAAGAAATCAAAAATTCTAAAACCTTCAGAAAGGGCTGTCCTTCCTTCTGTCAGGACATCACTGTGGAGGCACGCTTTGTACATTTGCTTAACTGCTGCTTCCAGTTCACAGTGGGAAGCAGCTGGTATTGTGCCGTGTCTGAGCCAAGGCTCACATACGTGAGTACATGCCTCAGATTTTGATCTGTGATTTCTGATAACAGATTCATTTCAAAAGGAAACAAGTTGACTGCATGTGCCCTTAAGCCCTCATTGACATTGCTGGATACTTTATTCCAGTAATAACTATCCAGCTGTCATTATGCTTTGCCAGTGAACCATAGAAAAAAAAATTCATGCTGCAACTCAGAATTCTGTCACTTGCCATATCAGCTCTACCAGTGGGTTTTGCAAATGACTAGTGGCTTTTGCGATGACCCTCTACAGTTCACTATTTTCTAGCTATCTAGAGCGGTTGCATGTGGAGAACTACAGTCGTACCATGTGGTGTTTTGTAGCAAAATCGGGGGACAAGAGTACAGAGCAAAGAATTCAAATGGTGTGTTAGGAAAATGCTGTTGAGAAAGGAGTTTCATATGCTGTGTGGACCTCTTTGCAACGATACCAGATCAGTATGGTGTTCTTAAAATCACTGTGTTTATTTCTCTTGCAGCAAACCAAGAGGAAACTAGATGATGCAAATAAACGCCTGGAGTTTCTATATGACAAACTTAGGGAACAGACAGTAAGTTCTGTTTCTCTTCTCCCTGCCCGCCCCCCCCCCCCAGTCAAATGTTGCAGGTATGGGCAATAACTTAATCAGTGGTGTAGACCCCTCTGCAATATGTAGTAGGTGCTTCAGATCCATTTATTGTATGTTTCCATGCACTTCCCCAAAACAGCTAGGTAGAGTGCTTGGCCCCAAGTGCCTCTGCAGACTTTACAGTGTTTTGGGGTCGTCATGAGTTTTATGGTGCTGTGCAGGGACTGTGCTAAGCCAAAGAGCAGAGCTCCTTGCAGTGGGCACTGGGTGACTGCATCAGGAGGGTGCCTGTCCCTAGCTGCCGGCAGAATGCACCAACACAGCAGGTTCCCCCACTCCCAGCAGGAAATGAGGGACACGCAGCCTGGGATCCATAACCCCCAGAAGATTTGTATGTTGGAGGCTCACTGACTTCACTGGAAGGCAGATGTGCAAGTACTTTGGAAGATCTGGTAGGTTTTCCAAAGCCTTTCTGTGGCAGAATAAAGGACTGGGCAGGTCTCTTAGCACCTTAGGACTGGAGTGGTCTAATCCTGTCATTGTCAGGCCATCTTTGCTGAGCAATTAACTTTACCCCAAAGGCATAAAAGCTCAGTAGGTTTTTCATGTGCCACAGTCTGTCACAGCAGGTCGCCCACCTGGGGGAGCTGCATCCAGGGGTTGGCAGTAAAGGCTTGTGTGGGGCTTTGTAGTACTGCAGAGAAGATATGTTGTGATTGAAGTCTGCTGTTAGACTTCACAGTGACTGTTCCCAGTGTGGTGCAGCTCTGAAGATGGCTATCTTCAAAGAAAGGAACTGATTGCTGCACCCTCCTGAGGGCCAAATGTTACACTCAGGATTTCTGTTTTTCTGGCACTAGTGTATATGTTGTTGTTCCTTTCTGTTGACCTGCCTTGCCTGGCTTCCTTGCAGCTCTCTCCAGCCATCATTAGCGGTTTGCACAACATTGTGAAGAGCATTGAAACCCGCAGCTACCAGGAAGGACTAAATATCCACACGCACATAGTCAGCACCAGCAACTTCAGCGAGACCTCTGCTTTCATGCCTGTTCTGAAAGTTGTCCTCACCCAGGCCAATAAGCTGGGTGTCTGACATAACCCTGCATTTGCAAAGCCTTGGCAGTTGTTTTCCAAAGAAGTGCATTTCTACAGCAAACGTGCAAGAAGTGGACCAAATGCTAGTCCTTAGGGCATGTAGCAGTAGAGCGCTGACAAATGGCATTATACTTTCCCTGCAAAATACTTTGTTCTAGGAGGGCTGTGGAGCCCTGATGCTTTTCTTTTTATTTTAATCCTTTTCCCATCCCTAATGATTCTTGTCTACAAGTAGTGTATTTAATGGATTATGCCCCATATTGTCAATTTTTAGATGCATGTTATACTGCTAAACAGTGGCTTTTAATAACAGATATATGTGTAAAAACAACAAGATAGGTTGTGTATCAGACCCTAAAACAGATTATTCCCTTCCACCCCACTGTTCCTTATCCACCAGATTAAAGAGTCTGATCGTGTTATAAGCGTATTTGGTCTTTCATTTTATGAAGCTGCTTGCAGTTCTGTTATTAGAATTTCCATGTTAAATAGCTTAATTTTGCACTGGGGCAAATAAGCAAAATAAAGGCTAATGTGATATTTTTGCAATAAATGTTAATTTATTAAAATATGTCTTTATGAAGTGCAACTTAGAGATTTTGAACCTGGAGTACAGTGGGGTGGCTTTCTGTTGTGTCCTAGGCGTGAAGATATTTTTTTTCTCTATGCTCATCACTAAAAACTTCATTTAACATTTATGCTCAGAGATTTACATTTCAAAGAAAGGTTTAGCAAGGATTCTGAATGCATCCGTGTGTGTTTTTAAAAGCTAAGAGCAGAAACAACACAGAGTGGTTTAAGCCACCCATGAAGAGATAGTATTTAGTGTGTAAACAAGGTGCAAATTGTTTCTTGCAGTCCCCTGAACCTGGAGACCACTGCCTCTTCTGCACTGCTTACCAGTGTGAGGGCATGCTGTCCTGTGAAACTGCAAGCATGCTGCTTCTTGCCATTAGCAAGTTGGGTCGGGTGAGTTTCAGAGCACGCTGTCCTTTGCTGTGGCACAGCTGGAGTTGGCTTTAAGTTTTAAAAATTTGAAACAGTGTGCCATGAACAGCAAGTATGTCTAGGAAGAACAGCAGTTGGAAGAAGTGTCCAGTTTTTTTTTTTTTTTTTTTTAAAAAAAAAAAAGGGTGGGGGCAGTTCTGCTGAAAACGACCTAAAATGTGGAATGTAGATTTGGCAATACATACTGCAAGCAATATTACAAATAACAGTGCAAATCATTGCTGACTCCTGTGACTTAAACTGATGATGAGTTACAGGTTTGTTAGGCAAAACAGTTCCATTCCTCTGACAAAATCGAGCTTAATTTTGTTTCCTTGCCAGCATTTTCTGACCTTACAAGCTTTTATAATTGGTGAACATAAAGCATCAGTTTGGAGTTGCTTCGTTTCAAGAGTTTGAAAAACAATTGGAGTAATTTTCTTCCCCTTGATCTAGGTTACAGGTTTCTAAGTAATGTTACAAATAGATTGTGTTCTCCTGTCATTCAAAAACGTTAGGTGTGTTGATGCTGCAAGAAACTGGTAATGAGGAAATAGCAGCCTACCTCAGTGGTAGACTCCCGATTGCTGGGACCACGTTATCTAGGAAATACTTCACAGCACCTGACAGAGATGAGAATGGTAACAGCTCAGTGTGCTCCACCTTTCCTCCCACGGGGCTGCTTTCTGTAAGCTTGGAATGAAATGCTGGGGCCTCACTAATGGGGAAGGCAGGAGGAAAGGGGCTGCACAGAAGCAGAAATGTTGCCACCTGCAGCAAAAGCAGAATTTGGACAGCATAGTACTCCAGGATCTGTACACATGAGGAAAGGACTGCTGCACTGAACTTCAGTATTGACGCCTCCCTCAGAGCAAATAGCATGCTCTGGGCACAGACCCTTGTGCCTTGATTCAAGGTGGGAAAGAAGAAATTCAAATGTAAACTGGAATTAAAAAAATGTGGTAGAGTGAAAATCAGGTGTGCTGGGCTGGCCTGATGTTTCTGTGATACACAGTTCAGAAAGGAAAGCAAAAGAGAACCTCAGTACTTCAGGACCAAACTGGTGGATGGGAGGTGCTGTAAGAAGACCAGAAGGGGAATTCAGAAGCTGGTCGTGCATACGCTGTCACAGAGTGGTTTTGGGAGTACTCCTGGACAAGAAGCAGGAGTGATGGCAAGCGGCACTTGTGAAGGACATGCAGATGGTTCGCAGTTTGTTTGTGAAGCTGGCTGGTTTCGGCAGTAACAACTGGGAAGACTGACAGCAGCGGCAGAAGTGGGGTGCACTCTGGTAGGTGCATTGTGCAGGGTTGTGGGCAAAAGCATTGCTATAAATTGGAAAGTCATAATTTGGGAATAAGAGGAGCAGCAGGACCTGAGAGGATTAGCTGGGAACAGCTCCTCAGTATGAAGTGGCTTTGTAAAAGCCAATGAATATTTAATGGCATTGCACAGGCCTTCGTGAGACTTCCATTCATGTAAAAGTGGGTGCCAAGTGAGAAAGGACTCAGCAGGGCACACAAATGTTGAGGACTGAAGAGTTTGTTTAATGGGAAGAGACTAAATAAACTTTGCTTGTTCACCTAGTGAAGAGCACAAGGGAATCAGGTTGACTGGAACTAAAGAGCAGTGTTAGTATTAGAAAAAATGTGGAATGAGTTGGCCATGAGTAAGCTTGGTCTGGAAACTGAAGTGGTCAGAAATGAGACCACTGGTTCAGAGAGAAACACTGGGGTTTTTTTGAGGTGATAGTATCTCTGGGTACTGTGATGTTGTACCACCGGCCTGGACACTGTAGGTCAGCAAGGGGGTAATCTCACTCTCCTCGATGAAAGGAAAGCTGTCCTCTGCCTCTGCCACTCTCGGGAGCTCAAGACTGGAAAACTGCACTGCCCAACTACGTAACAGGAGTGGATCTGAAAATCTGCTACTTCTCTCCTGAGAGCAGCTGAGATGAATAATAATAGTTAATCAGTTCTGCTGCTGTCTGTTCATATCTTCAAGGAATGCCAAGCAATTCGCCACCCATCTGATGTTACAAATGCAAATGGCCGTATTTGTTTACAGAAGGCAATGAAGCTCTGCCAATTTACGCTGCTAAAAGAATTTGGCCCCAAATAGCCTAATTTTGATCTCACTGAGTGAGATTTATATCATGGCATTAACACCAACTAAGCTACTCACTCCTCTTTGTGGCCTCCCAAGGCCGCAGAATTATAAAAAAAAAGGGATGGGAGGAAATTCAAAGATGTAATCTGCGGCAGCGTGGATGTTGTCCAATGGCAGCTGACACAAGGAGGTATTTTGCTACTTCAGCTATCACCATCCAGGCAAAAGCAGCAGTAGGAGAGTTTGTGGGAAAGGGCAGCATTACTGCAGTTCTCTCGTGCTGCCGAGGCAAATGAGTGAGGATGTAACAGGGGCAGTAGTGCAGAGCAGGCTAACTATGGGCAGGATGTCTGAGTTAGGTACTTGAGTGAAAACCCTTTTTCTGCCTGTAAAGCTCTGTAATGGATTTACCTTGGGTTTGCTGGCAGATGTCCAAGGTCATTAGACATGAATGTTGGAGATTGTCTTTTAATCACTGCAGCATTTCTAGCCTGTGCAGTGTTTATGTCAGATTTGTAGTGTTGTGCCTTTTGGGTAACATAGTTCCCTAACATACAGATTGGGAATGTGGGTTTACTATTTAGTAACTGCTTTCTCTGCGCAGAAGAGAGCATCTGCTAGACTGGCTCCTAAGAGAGAAGGGAGGGGGGTCTTGCTGCCATAGCTGTTTCCCCCAAAAACTATGGAGGAGGGGGACATCTTTTGGGAAGCATGGCAGAGACAGCCTGAAGAGTAGTGGCACGACTCCCCAGGCTCCTGCAGGCTCCCCTCAGCTTCATCCTCACCCTCACCACCACACTGGTCCTTTGTTTCAGCAGCACAAACCCCACCGTGTGGTTAGCCTGGCTGGAGACTCTGTTATGCCTGAGGGCAAGAGGAGGAGTCCCTGGGTCAGATATTTCCCTCTCCTGTCCTCCTCCACTCTATCTGCGATCCCATGTGGCTCCGCACCCATAAGGGTTCACTGTTCTGAGCTGTGTCAAGCATCCGTTGCAAACTGGGCAGCTTGTATAGAGCCAGGCATGGCTCAAAGCTAAAGGAAAAAACAGGTGCATGTGGACAAACATCTGCCACTGACTGATCATGCATCCCCTGCAGGGAATGCTGAGCATCCTAGTGGGGTGCCTGGTGCTGAGTCAGCCTGGAACAAGAGCCAAGGCCACTGTCAGAGTATTCTGAGGAGTCTAATAAATAATGTATTGATGCCAGGAACAGTTTCAACCTGTCCAATCTTAAATGAGGAAGCTCAGGGTAATCTCCCAGCCTTGACTTGCTGTATGCTGAGTTGGTCATTCCCATGTTTCCGCTGCCAGTCCTCCAGGTCAGACAGATACATCACCAAATGGCCAGGCAGGATGCATGGATACATTTAATGCAACCCACACTCAGAAGACGCTAAACCAATTAAAATTGCTACCAGCTTTAGAGCTGCAAGTTAGCCAGAATAGAGTCTAATTAAGACAGGATTTATTAAGGAGCACCCTGAAAAGGCAACTGCAGCTAACCTCACCAGTAAGTCCACGCCTGCCTGGACAGCACAAGGGAGACTTTTTGGGAACCTGTTGCTCAACTTCTGTGCCAGGTATGTGAGAAACACTTCAGTACATAAACATCGAGCACATATTTCTTGTCCCTATAATGTTTTAGGCTTTGTTTCCTTCTTTACCACTTAAGGCCTTCATTTGAACTATGCTTTGGGGTCAGTACTTAATTTTTCGTGGCAAGAAAAAAAAAGACCACTCTTGTCAATATTTTAAATAGCTCTGTGCTGAAATGTGATAGTTGCAGGCAGCAGTAGCATTAAAGTGATACTCACTGTGTTCTCATGAACCATCCACTACCTTTCATCATCACTGCCCTCTTTCTTTCTTCCAAGTGGATAATTCTAGAAGAATGTTTAAAATATATCAAAAACAATCTTGGGTTTAATTATATACTCTCTGCTGATTCACTTGCCGCAGGAGGTGTGGTTAGTAATTAATTAGCACAGCAGACTAATATGCTTTGTACTAATACCACTCATAAAGCTGCTTTCCCCCAGGTCCAGGCCCATGTCGCCAGCAATGACCCATCAGGAGTCGAGGCCAGTGCTGCGCTGGGCGCTGGGAGCCATTTGGGGTGAAGGTGAGCTGGTGTCTGCCTGCCTCCTCCTGCCACGCTGCTTGCAAACACTGCGAAGAGCCTCCCTCTGAACTCCTTTGTGCAGCTTTCTGAAAGCCAAAATGGGTAACGCTTTCAGATCAAATCACTAAGGAAGGAGAAGTAAATTCTGGAGGTGTGCAACATTAGAGCTTGGGTTTTGCTATGTTTCTTAAACCTTTGTGATAAT